CTGATACTTTCGTATTCGACTAACTGTTGTCCGACATCGACTGACTGACTGACCGACTGACTGACCCCCGTTTCTATTACTACTCATATTAGGTGGGAGAGTCTATTAACTAAATAATAGGTGTGTTTTACAATAACAAATAGATAACGGCTGATGTTAAGATTGTAGTGCTCGGGGAAGCATCCACGTGAGAGTTTGTTTTACGTGTTCAGTTATTACGCGAGATTTTGTTACGCTTTGGTGAAATGGCTCCGTGATCTTTACAAGTGCTGACAAATACTAGCGGCGCGCCTATAAAGAAGATTACTTGAAACTTATCAAATCTGCTACATTGCATTTGCTCTTCAGGATTTGGCTAACATTATTTAGGTCCAACACAGATATTTGCGTAGCTCGATGGTTTCAAGGCTGGTCGAGGGCCGATGCCTTGGTAGGAAACAATCACTAGCAAAACACGAGAAAATTTAGGGCATAAAGTTTACGGACATATACAGGAATTTCGTCAACAGAAACCTCTCAGTTTTCTCACACAGCTGGAATCAGTGGTGAATTTTCCCGAGAGGTTCTATTTCAGGAGTTTTACGATATCACTGCGTTTATCAGTATAAAAAGAACCGTTTCCATCAAATCCTACATATATTCATACATTAAAAAATGGACAAAGTCCGACAATTTATTAAAGACATTTTTATGTTTAACATTCTTTTTATAGATACAAGTATCTAAGTAAATGCTCTGTTTATAATAAACAGTATTAAATAACATTTACCGGCCTGAATGTCCGAGAAATTTTCATAGAAAATATTCGTCCTTTGACAGGATTCGAACCTGCATCCTATACGGAACCGTCATTTACACTGACGTAAATATATTCATACATAAATTTGCGTTTCAAAACCGATAATCTTTTTGTGAAGAAAAATCTATCCGGGAAATTCTTATTCTAACCACTTATTTTAGCGAATATTCCAGACCCCCACACCCTCATTAATTTAAAGTGTGTGCATTCTAGAAAAAAAAAAGTTTAATTACTGGATACTATAAAAAAATTTTTTTTAAAAAAATAAAAAAATTAAAAACAATTCCCTCCACCTGGTTTTATTTCAACAACCATATCAATTTGAAATTCAAAAATATGTGTCTCTACAATGATAAAAAAATAATTCTTCCTTCTCAAACCGATTTTTCTTTTTTAATCAAATCATAGGTTCGTTATGTAGTAAAAGTAAACAACAACAATGATCAATTTTTAATTTATTGTTCATTTTGAGGTAGCTTTTGTGTTTATAGCTTTGAGTTTTAAATAAATAAACCAAAGCGACTTTTTCTGGTGAAACATCCACCGGCGGGGGGATCGTATTTCCAACTACACTTTTTATTAAATACTCAAGAAATGTCTCCCTACCCCTTAATTTTGACCGCCATAAATTAATTACTGAGAATTATCAATATATATCAATATATATATATATATATATATATATATATATATATATATATATATATATATATATATATATATATATATTGTCATCCACAGACAGACTGTTTTTGCTGTATCACAGCTCTTCAGTGTGGCTAGACGTTTGGTTGCCTTTAGCTAGGATCGAAACACGGCACCGCACGGATGAAGGTGAATTTTAGCGTATTTATTTTTAGATAAACACACAGTGACTGAGTTCCAGCTACCCGTTTCGATTCCAGACACATCGTCTATTTGAAACTCAAGTATATGACTCTATAGACATGAGAGTATTTAATCATAATAGCAATTTTTTTCCCGTTTAAACAAAATCATGACATTAGAAGTTATGCTGTAGTAGTTATCAATTTCTAATTAATTGTGTATTTTCACAAACACTTTGTGTTTATACATTTGAGTTTCAAATAAACAGGACAGGACAAATGATTATGGATAAAAATCAATCAGTATATCTTTATTCCAGTCACCCATTTTATTAAATATTAGCAGTAGAGCCCGGCGTTGCCCGGGGATGTCACAGTAAGAGATAGATCAAGTATCGACCATCATAAAGACTGAAAAATAAAATTGACAAAGATTATTGTTTAAGGTTGACGGACACGCATGTCTTAATTAGTTTTTTTTTTTTTTTTTTTTTTACGAATTGGTCAAACCCAAACTCAAACAAAACATTGTTTTCAATCGTTATGCGTCTACCGATTGAATAGAATTTTATTATAAACAATTGTCTTGTAAATGGAATTTTTAAAGCATTCTGAATGTAAAAATAAAGAAAAAAGTGTGCAAGACAATAAGAAACACTACCTGCCAAAAAAAAAAAAGTGAAGTTTTGTTGAAACCGGTTGAAAAATGTAGGAAATCCGATCCCATACATAAACGAACACACACAAACAACCTGGGTTTTATAATAAGTATGATTCAGGATAAATTCTTACACATCTTAATTTAGGATGTGATAATTGTCGAAAAATAGCGTCTGATCCGTATATTGAATAAAAGGGGGGGGTGAATAAGGATGGTATAATTTTCTCGAAAAAAAATCTTTCCGGTATGTCTATTTGAAACTCAATTATAGAAAATGAGGCAGCGCATTCTGTGACATTTTTCTACTTACCACTATGATGGCGGTTAAAAAGCACACATTTTAAGCAGTTAATTCCACTGGTAATTTTCATGGGGAAAATGTTCCTCTTTTTCATGTCAACTCAAAGCTGTATTTTGCATTAATAACCCAGGGGGGAAAACAGATGAACTCTGTTAGTCTTCCCGAGCCAATCCACTATATTCAACTGACCTCTGCAAAACGCTTTGATGCAGGACCAAAAACGTCATCTAATAGCACCAGATTCAAGAGTTCGTCGAAAACCTGTGAATTTTACTCAAAGGGTATCAAAGAGCCGCTTAATAAGTGGCGCAAGCCATTGCAAATCATGGTGAATATAAAATTTCACATATTTTGAAGAATAACATTGATAAACAAAAACGAAAATTATTTATGACACCGATTGTGAGAAGAGAGAAGAGGAAATTAGACAGGACCTTTTGATAAGTAAATGTCCACATCGATATGGTGAAGTTAATGAAATAAAGTAATCAGTGTAACCCACTCTTTTTGAGTAAGTTCACGTTTACTTATCATCTCTCAGATGCGTCTCTGTCTTTGAACAGAGTGCGCTCAGGGGCTCCTCTGTCAAAGGATAGAGGGGCAACTGAGGAAAATAATACTGAAGAGGTACCCAGCCCTGGGGAACGGCTACCCGAGGCCGCGCCCTCCCATTGCTCCAGAGGGAAGGATCGGTGCTCGCACCGAGGCCAGCGCAACTGACGGTTGCGAGGGGCTGAGGGGAATTTTTGTTCCTGTCCCGGGTGTACGCGCTCGGGTCCCCCACCTAAAAACAGACCATGTGTCACATCTCGTCCTAGTGGGGGGACAGAGTAAATACCGCGTGATGTATCACTGACAGAAGATCAACTCTGATCTCACAGACTTACCCCTTATATTTCCGTTTATTTCGGAAGTACTAATATAGATTGGCCCATTCTTAAATAATAGGGTACGTTTTTACTTTTTCATAGACTAGCGTTCATTAAACCGTCTTCAAGTCACGACATAACGTCAAAATATAAAAATATTGATTTTTTTTATCGATTTTAGAAATGGGGTCCTATTCATATTATGGTGAATGTATAAAATCGATCCCTTACTTTATACAGATATAATTGTTATTTGAAAATTTCAACTTTGAAATTAGATTTACATCTTTGATATCTTAATACATACCCCTCTTTTTTAATTTTCTGAATTTTAAAACAAATTCTAATAATTTGTGGGTGGAACTTTTGGGAAGCACTTACACAACTTTTGTGGGATTATAAATATTTGTCTTAAATGAAGTATAAACGGATATATACTTTATTAATTAATATAAATGTCCTTTAATTAATGACATATTGATATAATGGAATATGCGTACACCTGTGTTCCCCCTCACTGGAATATGATTGGCTGGTGTCCGCCATAAATGCCGACGGACGTGTAGGTGAGGCAGAGCCTTAGTCTGAGTCTATAAAGACGCCCATCGGACTACGCCATTGATCTACACTTCTTACCTGCGACTACGACGCGTACCAGTCGATTACTGCTACCGTATTCTACTTGGTTATAGTAGACAAGACGACTTAACTACTTCGTTCAAATATATCCCTCTCCGGGATATATCACGCACACAGACGCACACGCACATACACACACACACATACACACACACACACACACACACACACACACATATATATATATATATATATATAAAAGTAAGAGACAATAGGAAAACTGTATTATTAGCCGACGCGTTTCGCCCAATGTAGACTTTTCAAAGTAAAAAATTAAATAAATTTATTGAAAACAAAATAACTATTAACAACAAGCAAAATGTCCTTAGCAACTAGAAGAATTTAGAAAACGCTACTGTATTCATATTGTCAGCAGAAAATTGCGTCAATACGAATACAAGGGCGTTTTATAAATTCTTCTAGTTGCTAAGGACATTTTGTTTGTTGATATTAGTTACTTTGTTTTCAATAAATTCATTTCGTTTTTTGCCTTGAAAAAGTCTACATTAGACGAAGCGCGTCGGCTAATAATACAGTTCTTCTATTGTCTTTTACCTTTATACATATTGTCTTTTTCTATAAGTTAACTCTGAGAAATTTTTCATATATATATATATATATATATATATATATATATATATATCCGTTTGTTCTTTAAAAGAAATTTTTTTTGCAACAAAAAGAAAGGGCCATTCGTACGCAGAAAAGCTACATCGAGAGAAGTCTGTAAAAAGTTAGAGATCGATTTGATATTGGATCTATATTATAAACATGATCACCCACCCTCCATTTTAGAATGATATAAAAATCAATATCTTTAGTTTCTGGCAAATATCGTGTATTTAAGAATGTCCAGTGAATGCTGATCTACTAAATTAATTTCCAAAATGGTTTTCCCTATGCCTTACGGCCATATCATGTTTAAACACCGGATCCTGTCCGATCACCAAATTTAATCGAGCATCGAAGCTAACGTCATGCCTGGTCAGTACCTCGATGGGTGACCGTATGGGATTACCAGGTGATGTAATCTTGGATTTGCGGGTAGTGTAATGGATAATGGATCGGAATTGTTAATCGGAGATCCGAGTTTCAATTCCAGGTAGGTTCGTTTTATTTATTTACGCGCATATACCCTTGTGAAAGCTATTAATCCACCTCTTCTCTTCCAAGCTATGGGTTAATTAGTAAACCTTGTGTCACTAAATTATATTAAATAACTATATTATTATCTCCAGATATAAAATAATATTGCCTACAAAATATATATATTTCGGCATTAATTGACCCACAGAGATTGATATGCCGCTAAGTAAGCAAAAACAATCAACCAACCAATATTTCCCCTCTTTTAACAAGGGGACCAATGTATTTAAGTAGTTTCCATATTTCTGAGGTTTTTGGTGTTTTTATATGCATGTGCGCTGTTGAATTGCTATGTAATACAAAATATTTTGGGTAGCAGGAAATGCTGGGCAATCTCCTCACAGATTTAGAATAGATTTAATGCCAGGGCAATGTAGTTACGCCAACGAATGCCGGGATTAACAAGTCTTAAGGAAAGTAGAAATTGCAAGAAAACCTGAAAAACGACAGTTAAAAAAAAAAAAAAAAATTCTAGGACACAAAAGGAGGAAAGCGCGTCATGGAATTTTACACTCACAGGACACAGTAATATATATATATATATATATATATATATATATATATATATATATATATATATATATATATATATATGCACACACGCGAAAGTACACACGATCAGAATTTAAATGAAATGTCAATCGACATTCGAGGAAGCTATTTTCTTTTTCTTCCCGGCAACGCAAACCCCCCACCCTTTACGTAACAAAAAAAAGAACAAAAAAAAACATAATATGCCGGCCCTTTGACGTTATTCTTATGACTGTATTTAAACTAAATATATTTTCTAGTAAATATAGTAGGGTATATAGATAAACAATTTAGATGTGAAATCCGATCATCTTGCCGTCATCAAAGTGACAGGTACCGAAACTAGTTAAGATGAACAAAAAAAAAAAAAATGAATAGTACTTGTTTTTCAGAATCACTTTTTGATCTGCATTTAGTCTCAGAGACTCATTTTATACATACAGATCTGCGCTATATTTAATTCCTTGAAAAATAATTTTGCTTTTGTATTATACGTTCGTTTGTCTTCTGCTTTCGACAAGTGCAACTTTAGCCTTTTAAAAATTATCATTACCTTTCATTATGGAGAAAAAAAAAAAAGAAACGCTAAACTCTACAAATAAACTCTTGATTTATGCTACCCGGCCTACCAAGTTTAATGCTGAACTTATTTTCAGGTGTCACACTAAATCATCTAATATCGCTAATTTTGGCTTGAAGGTAGAGCCACAGCAGATGACAGAAAACTGAGTTCTATCCAAGCTTGTCTTTTTCTTCTCTTTTTCTATTGCGACTAATAATTTAAAAGTTATAAACCTAACAAAGTGTGAATTATATTTCTCGGTATTGTAATACCTTTCGTTAGACAAAAGAACTTTCTCTTTTGTTTTCTTTTATTAATCAATTACGCGATAAAAATTTTCACGCCTTTGTACTTTGTGAGTTTTTTTTTCTTTATTCTTGTTCTCCGTCGATTTATCGTTATGCAAATTGCATGAGGACTGCAGTCGACTGTTGACATTTTAAGAGATAAATTTCAAATGGAAAGTAGTCAAAAGCGCACCGGTAATCTAATGAGTACTGCCGGTGACGACAACGTATAATTAAACCAAATAAATGCTTAGCTCTATGGCCAACCTGGTACCATTAGAATGATATATCAACAAGTAATTTCCGAAAATGTCACGTGAACAAGATACGTATTTCTGTAACATAATAAGGCTGATTAATATACTGCGTGGAAATCAAAGTTTTTACGAATTCGGAAACTATTTGCCCAGTGAAAACGAGTTTTGCTTAGACTTGTTTGAAGAGGGCATTCCGCTTTTTTTTTCTTTTTTTCTTTTTTATTTCGCCAGTTAACGGTATTCTGTCCTGGCAGTAGCATTTGAATCATGTTGAATGTGTTAGTTTATTTAGACAGAACGCTCTGTTGTCATCCACCTCACAACTGTTTCGACTTGAAGGCAAATCAGTGTGATTTCTTATCTTCAGCAAGGCTGCTACATTTCCGAGCGTTCTTATCTGCTCAAATCTATTACAGCTTTTTCCTCAACATCCACAGAGCCAAACTGTGATTTATACTGCAACTATGCTGAGCAAACCTTACGTACAGTTCGAGTATGTTTCTCACCAGTGCCACGTTTTGAAATCATTGTTGTCCTTCTCCTATATTCGATGCCAACCACGGATAGAGATTCCAGTCTTCTTGCTATTTAATCCATAGCTCGGGGAACAAGAGATAGATTCATATCTTTCATAAGAGTATTTTTGCGATAGTGAGGGTAAAGTTTTTGACTATAATTCCAATAGTCATCGTTCTAAGCCTCTATCAATTACGCAACCTTCACATCCCGTTCTGTTATGAAGGGTAATATTTTTTATGATTATTGCCCTTTTCTCATAAGCACAATTACATTCATTTCTTTTTATTTTTGTTTTTGTTTACGATTCTTAAATTATTTAAAGTAAACGATTTTTGGTAAAGTTTTAAAAAATGTTTATACCTAAATTATTAATCTATAAAATATTCTAAATGATTAAAAGAAATGCTCCTTTCGGATGTAGGCGATCATAGCACTCCAATGTCTTCTTTTTCTTTTTTAATGTCTGTATTAATGGCCATGATTTCTTGAGTAAAATTCTATCGGCCAAATCACACTGAAAACATCGGTTCTGGTACGATAATTAAAGTTAAGCAGTGCCGAGCCCGGTCACTGCTTAGATGGATGAACGCTTCCTACAATTCGAAAATACGCCTCCTACAATTCGAAAATACGCTTCCTACAATTCGAAAATACGCCTCCTACAATTCGAAAATACGCTTCGAAATATACTTCACCTTTAAATAAACCACAATACATAAGTAAACGGAATATGCATATTCTCCCTTGAAAAAAAATAGAATAAAATGAAAACCCTTTATAAAATAATCTCTATATTTTAGAAAAAAAATAAAAAGAATTTTTTTAATTTTAAAAGAATGATTTTTATGGTTTATCAACCCTTTGTGATTTAATTAAACCTGAGACATATTTTTGATTGCAAGCCTATTATTTTTTTTTTGTGTGAGAATATTGCATTAAAATTTTTTTTTTAGAGTTACCACTGATTTTTCCAGATGCATGTCCTACTATTTAACCCATATTTCGGGAGGATAAATGTTGATAAACCATAAAAGCAAATCAACCAATCTTAGGAAAGATAGTGGAGCGCTTTCCCGTTGCCTTCTCTGCGATTTTAAATTAAAAAAAATCTTTCTCCTATACCGTTGACTAATGCTAGGTAACCCACTCTACTCTGCTATTTAATCTATATATGGGAGTGAGGAATAAAGATGAATGTATAGCTTTCGCAAGAGCAGCATTGCAAAGTGAACGCAACAGACAAGATCGGACTTCGAACCCGACTCGCCAATTCTACTTTCCGCTCCCATAACCTTTACATTTCTCGGATATTCTAAACTATAATATTAACAACAAAAACATTCTTGGATGTGCGGGTGGTGTAATTGATAACGGCTCGGAATGAAAAATCGGAAAACAGTGTTCGAATACAGTCGAATTCGTTACTTCCACTTATGCACAAATATCCTTGGGAAAAGGTATGAATCCATATCTTCTCCCCCGAACCATGGGTTAAATAGTAGGACTTGCATCTAGAAAAATCACTGTTATATTCCCACTTTTATTCCCAAATTTAATTCCAAGTTATAAAAATTGTTATCGTACAAAAATATTCGTCACAAAAAAAAATCATGTAAAAAGGCGCCGAAAACAATCGCAGTAATGAAAAGTTGGGAATCCAAAATTTCAGGATTGTGGGTCCGGATCCCGCCCGGAATATTTTCAGTTTGCTCATGGAGTCGGCCTGATTCCCAAATGGTGTGATATGTCGAACTCCGGACTCAAGGAGTAAAGTTGAAAACACGGATAATTTTATTTTGAAACACTGTAATTTGAGAACAGTAATGTTTTAATTTGAACAAGGATCATAACATTCATCGAGGGATTAGTGCGTTAATGCCTCTTTAAAATTTATTTAGCGAAGTGTGGTTTCGCCATTTTATATCATTAACTTTACTAATTTATTTTTTGTATGAATGATTCACTGTAATATATATATATATATATATATATATATATATATATATATATATATAGGGGGGTGAGATGTGTATTTAAAAACTCAGTGTGGACAATGGCTAACGAATATGAATTCAAAGTTTCACCTTGAATCAATTTAGCAATTAATTAATGTCTATTCAGCATTCAATAGTTTTAAATTAGCTTACCTATTATCTTTTATTTTATCGGGTGTCTGACATTTTCCGACAAACCATATGACTCGGGTCATTAGGTCGTGTGACAAAGAATCGGTTTATCACAAATGAAGAGTGTGTGAGTTGCCGAACAAGATTTCTACACTCGGACTTAGCAAAATAAATACGGCGCTATTGATGTTTCTTGTCAGTCAAGGTTTTGTTTTGAATTGGTAACTGCCGTCTACCTTCCACCACTAAAGCCGATTGCCGCTAAATGATTATTGTTAATATTACGAATACTTCTGATATTACAGGACATTATTCTCACCAAGGAACTTCGCTTCAAACTTCACGCTTCGCATGAAATAAATAAACAGCTTTAAGATTCCCAACGAAAATAGCCTTTCAAGCAGAATGATTTCGATTTAAAGAGTTTTATTAAATACTAGTTTACTCCTTTCGTCAAAACTTTAAGAAAATATTTACACGTTCCAAATGATACGGATACAGAAGCTATTCTTGAAGTACACTCCATGCGTTACTATGAGATGTACGACAAGCTAGGGCCACTTGACGTGTGCTGATACGTGTATCGTCTCCGACAGCCTGTAG